TTAAAGTGTTGTTGTGTTGTATGATTCCTTTTAAAAATAAATACATTTATTTGGTTTTTCAGATTAAAATTTTACAGTCACGTATCCATCATACAACATAAAAAGAAGATTCCAAGGAATCTCTTGGACTTAACTCCTCCCCTTTGTGGGTCCTATTATTAATCATTTCCTCCTGCATCTATCTTTTATGATGATTTATATCTCCATTGTGTCCAAAATTCACCATTAAACGATATGTATTATTCCAATCCTACTAACAATTTTAGCTGTTTACAATGGTCTTTAAGATAAGTTATAAATTGTCCCCATTCCTTATTAAAATTTTGGTCTTCCTGATTTCTGATTCTTCCGGACATTTTAGCTATTTTGGTATAGTCCATCAACTTGATCTGCCCTTCTTCTCTGGTAGGGACTTTATTTTCTTTCCATCTCTGGGCCAATAACATCCATGCAGCCGTGGTCACATACATAAATAGTCTTTTCTGCTCCCTTGGGAATTATTGTGTTGTATGATTCTAATTGTGTTTCACTAGCTGTTTCGAACACCGCCTGGCTGTTGCCATCAGCCTCTGCTAACCTGGTGCCTTAAAGGAGTTTTGCACTCTGGCTCCCATCATCTTGACATGCTGGCTTAGGCTATTTGGAACACCTTCGGAGCCACAGGTCCCCCACCCCTTGTGCTAGAGGATGGGGCAGCTCTTTACAGCCCTTCAATGGCTGCGCTCGTTTCTCTCTGGTCGGGGACAGAGGGTGGCGCTTGGGGGGGGAACTGTCGGCGCGCCACTCCTTGGTGTGTGGAGTGCCGCAGGGTGCGATACTCTCCCTGATGCTTTTCAATATCTTTATGCGCCCCCTCACCCAGCTTGTCCCGAGTTTTGGGTTGGGCTGCCATCAGTATGCCGATGACACCCAACTCTATCTGTTGATGGATGGCCATCCTGACTCGGCCCCAGACACACTGACCAGATGTTTGGAAGCTGTGGCTGGATGGTTACATGGGAGCCGGTTGAAGTTAAATCCTTCGAAGACAGAGGTCCTTTGGCTGGGAAGGGACGATATGGGATTGGGGGGGCAACTCCCATCTCTTGCAGGGGCGCAATTAGTGCCAGCACCGTCCGTTAAGAGTTTGGGTGTAATCTTCGACACCTCCCTTTCCATGGAGGCGCAGATTGCAGCTATAACAAAGGCGGCATTTTTCCATCTCTGCCAAGCTAAGCAGTTGGCTCCTTACCTCTCTCGCCCTGACCTAGCCACTGTGATCCACGTGACGGTCACCTCCAGACTGGATTATTGTAACTTGCTCTACGTGGGGCTGCCCTTGAGACTGACCCAGAAACTCCAGCGGGTGCAGAATGCAGCGGCGAGACTCCTTACGGGGTCCTCACTGCGGGATCACATTCATCCGGTGCTATACCAGCTGCAATGGCTCCCGGTGGAGTACAGGAATAGGTTCAAGGTGCTGGTTTTAACCTTTAAAGCCCTATACAGCCTAGGACCCTCGTACCTATGGGAACGCCTCTCCTAGTATGTCCCATGGAGGACCTTACAATCTTCAAACAAAAACATATTGGAGATCCAGGGCCACAGGGAGGTTAGGCTGGCCTCAACCAGAGCCAGGGCTTTTTCGGCCGTGGCCCCGATCTGGTGGAACGCTCTGTCACAAGAGACCAGGGCCCTGTAGGACTTGACATCTTTCCGCAGGGCCTGCAAGACAGAGCTGTTCCACCAGGCCTTTGGCCAAGGCACAGCCTGACCCCCTCCTTCAGTAATCCTCACAGAACTCTAGCCCAATGGTTGCTATTAATCTGATTTTGAATTGATTTTAGAATGAATTGATTTTAGAATGCATGTCAATTAATTGATTGTGATTTTATGTAAACTGTGTTACTTTTATTGTTGTTAGCCGCTCTGAGCCCAGCTTCGGCTGGGGAGGGCGGGATATAAAAAAAATATTATTATTATTATTATTATTATTATTATTATTATTATTATTTAGAAAAAGCAACCCAATGAGTGACTGTTCATCTGGCTTGTGCGCTCCTCTGTGCTGCGGGATTTGATTTGAGCTCCTGACGTGGAGAAGAGGGGAGGGCCAGAGAGAAGGGATAAACAAAGCCTTACCCCATTTGGAGATATGTTTCCTGGTTGCAAGCCCATACACGCCAGCGTCTTGGCCAGCTCTGCAGCGTTCACGCCGCAGTTCGGTGCTACGTTGGCTTCGCAACGAATATGTACATTCATTTTGCATACTGAAAGAGGGACAAAGAAAGAAATGGGACAAAGAGTGAGAGGGAGCAGAACCAATGCACTGAGCAATGCACAAGGTAATATTTCCATAAACCTGAATTAGAATGGCAGAAGGGCAATGGCATCTGCCTGGGACACCTCTGCCTGGAGATATTCCCAATCCATCTGGAAATGCCCAGGATTGAACCTGCTCTATACCACACTGAGCCACAGCCCTTCCCACTTATCCTCAGCTTGTATAATTGCAAATAAAAAAATTATTACAATGACACCGTAGGTCTCTGGTGTTCTCTCATCCAAAAGAAACCAAACCCTAGGGAGCTCTGACTAGGGACTTTTCATTGCTCGGGGGGGGGGGAGTACAAACTTGAATGAATGTTCAACAGCTTTCCCTCGCAAATAAGAAACCCAAACCATCATATGAGGAAGGGGCGGTTGGCCTTTTGCAAAAGAAGAATCATAGAATCATAGAATCATAGAATAGAATCATAGAATCATAGAGTTGGAAGAGACCACAAGGGCCATCGAGTCCAACCCCCTGCCAAGCAGGAAACACCATCAGAGCACTCCTGACATATGGTTGTCAAGCCTCTGCTTAAAGACCTCCAAAGAAGGAGACTCCACCACACTCCTTGGCAGCAAATTCCACTGTCGAACAGCTCTTACTGTCAGGAAGTTCTTCCTAATGTTTAGGTGGAATCTTCTTTCTTGTAGTTTGGATCCATTGCTCCGTGTCCGCTTCTCTGGAGCAGCAGAAAACAACCTTTCTCCCTCCTCTATGTGACATCCTTTGAACATGGCTATCATATCACCCCTTAACCTCCTCTTCTCCAGGCTAAACATGCCCAGCTCTCTTAGCCGTTCCTCATAAGGCATCGTTTCCAGGCCTTTGACCATTTTGGTTGCCCAAAAGAAGAAGAAGTAGAAGAGTTTGGATTTGATATCCCGCTTTATCACTACCCTAAGGAGTCTCAAAGTGGCTAACTTTGAACTCCTTTCCCTTCCTCCCCCACAACAAACACTCTGTGAGGCGAGTGGGGCTGAGAGACTTCAGAGAAGTGTGACTAGCCCAAGGTCACCCAGCAGCTGCATGTGGAGGAGCAGGGAAGCGAAGGCGGTTCACCAGATTACGAGTCCACCGCTCTTAACCACTACACCACACTGGCTCTATAAATAATAAAACAACTCTATAATAAAACAAAAAGTGAGAAAGTAATATGAATTCTGGCTTACTTTTGCACTGTAGACCTTGCCTCATGATGCCCCAAAGCAAAGACCCGCAGTGGTCGCAGAAGGTGGGCACTTTGTAATTGTGGATTCGGAATTTGTGAGGGATGTTGATTCCAAATCTCTGCTCAGAAATCTGAGGACGTAGCAACAATAGAGGCTGATTAGTTGGGGAGGCAGGAAATCAAGTAAAAACACACACAAGAATATCCTCCTCTCCCTCCCAGCAAAAAATACCATTAATACCAGTGGAGGACTACAACTTCCATTGCCTTTCAGAAACAATGCAATACTTTTCTAACTTCATTGCCTAAGGAAAAGGTAAAGGGACCCCTGACCATTAGGTCCAGTCATGACCGACTCTGGGGTTGCGGCGCTCATCTTGCTTTATTGGCCGAGGGAGCCGGCGTTTGTCTGCAGACAGCTTCCGGGTCATGTGGCCAGCATGGCCAAGCTGCTTCTGGCGAACTAGAGCAGCGCACGGAAACGCCGTTTGCCTTACCGCCGGAGCGGTACCTATTTATCTACTTGCACTTTGACGTGCTTTCGAACTGCTTGGTTGGCAGGAGCAGGGACCGAGCAACGGGAGCTCACCCCGTCGTGGGGATTCAAACCGCCGGCCTTCTGATCAGCAAGTCCTAGGCTCTGTGGTTTAACCCACAGCGCCACCCGCCTAGCAAGCCTTTGTTTTTTATTGATTGGCTGTCTTTAAAGTCTTAACTCCAACCTTGTGATGTGGACAACTATTATGCCCATTTCACAGGTAGGGAAAGGAACTGGGGGACAAACAAGATGCGGCATCCATCATGAGCTGGTACGAAGGAAATTTCTGCTAGATGGGCCAAAGGTCGGACATGGCATAAGTCAGGGGATTAAGCCCATTGAAGTGAACGGACCTAAGGAGATTGTGTTCGGCTCCAGGACAAAGGTGGAAGTGGCATAGGAACATAGGATGAAGTTACTCCATCTCAGCAGGGTACACCCATTCATCTGTTATCACACAAAACCAACAGATCCTGGCACCAAGTACACATGCAAACCCACAGCCCGGAAATGCATTAAACAAAGTGTGTTGCTCTGTAGAAACAGGCGGATCGACAGAGAGGTGAATAAACTACATTGCAATAAGCTACAGAACCCCAACTGTGTAACTGTGGCTTTACCTTTGTGTTCACCTTGTGACTATTGTTCTGGCAGGTGCAAGCCGTGACAATGAGATGGTGGCAGCGCTTGTGCACGACACACGTGCAAACTGGAAAACAGAGGCAGGCGTGGGGGGAAAAGGGTTGAAACAGAACAGGAAGGTGAGATCGACAAGAATCACTGGGAAGCCCAATACAGGTAATGCTCTGTACTAGATATATCAAGGTCGACATCTATTAGTTGCCCTGGAAAATGGAAGCACCAACATTTTTATCTTGTTCTCAAAGGAGCTGCGGAGGTGGTGGGTAGGTGTTGGACTAGAGTCAAAGCACAGGAGGAAGGGGTGGTCCTAACCATTTGCCCCTGTGCTGATCCCCCTAACAGCACCCTAGCTCAGTCGGTAGAGCATCAGACTGCTGATCTCAGGGTTGTGGGTTTGAGCCCCAAGTTGGGCAAAATATTCCTGTGTTGCAGGAGATTGAACTAGATGACCCTCTTGGTCACTTCCAATTCTAAGATTCTATGAAATCCCCCAAACTGCTGTTAACTACAGGGGCAAACCACAAACTACAAACATCAAGGCAATTGCAACATTCATAGCTGATGACAGGTCTATGTTCCATCAATTTGTCTAATCCTTCCCCTGTTCCACCCCCCACAAAGGCCCTCTAAATTGCCACTAATTACACCTTGTGGCAAGGAGTTCCATAGGTTCATCGTCCACCACATAGGGGTGACAAGAAGTGACAGACGGGACTACTCTAGAATAGACTGACCATCAATCGCAACCAATATCACTATCAACAGAGAGGCAGAGAAATTATTTGGCGATATCCCTCTGCGTCATATGGACTCCAAATGGACCCTTTCAGATTAACATGGCCTTAGCTGGTATGACTAATGTTGGCTACCAGCACACCCAGAGATATGCATAACCTGAACTTCAGCATGGGCCTGATTCACCGAGAACCAGCCTTGAGTATATCTCCCATGCATTTTAACGGGGTCTGTGCGGCAATAGAAAAAGGCCAATTTGTGGCATGTGCATTTCGGCGAGAGAGAAACGAGGCACGCTACCTTGGCACTGGTATCCTTGCTTCCCAAATACTCCCCTGTTGGAGACAAAACAGAGAAAGCGCATGACTCAGGATCAGATAAAAGAGCCAAAATCAGGTCAGGTTTGTACACAACAACACAGTGGCTGGGAAAGCAGCAGTGACACAGTTTACAATGCAAATGTAAAAACAGCTCTTTTGGAGACTTTTTCACCTCTCCTTGAGCAGAGTCAGAGCAGACTGACGCAATCACGGCTGATCCTTTTTGCTTCCCTGCCCCCTGGACAGACATAGCAGGTTCATAGGCTTCTCTCACGTATGTAAAAAAACCAAACCCATAGCAAGAAGGCTCACTATTTTTATACTCTCTTGGCTCAAAGTTGACTCCCCCATGGGAGTCAATGCATCAGGCAGAGGCACCTCTTAGCAATTTAAAGACCAATGGATTCATCTGTCTTGCTCTTCTTCACTCCGATACAGGCAAGCAAGAGGAATGATCACAGATCAAAAATCTGTTTTTATAAACACTGCATTGGGTTAGATGTAGGTTAACTTTGTAATAAAAAAAATTAAGGTCTCATATATATAATAAATGTTCATAAATGTAACAAGCAAACATGTACATAAATATATAAGCCACATGTCTGGAGCAGCACAGGAAGACAGTCCTGAGACCATTTTGACTCCCAAAACTGACCAAATGGGTGCGATGGGGCCCCTCCCTCAATTTATCGAGTTATAAGGACAAAGCCTGAGTTTAGAGTTGAAAGGGGCAATGGTTTTACCTAGAGGTAAAGGCAGGGGAAGAGGGGTCACTTGTTTGTGCTTTTAAAAAATAATAATATGCATTTTGTGTTTTTATTTTGCGTTTTTAAATACAAGATAAACTCCATTTAAAACTCCGTTTTAAAATTAAATTAAAACACTATATTAAAAACAGGTATTGCCTAGGCAATTGTCCCAGTGGCCTGAGAGGGGTATCTCAATGGCTGCATTTGGCCCTGAAATAAATGATGATGATGATGATGATGATGATGATAAAATCTTGCCTTTTGAAATAAAAGTTGTGATTCTCAGGAAGTTGAGCCTTGCAGTGTGGAATATTTAGGGATGGGTCAATCTCTATGTCAATCTCGGTTTCTCTCAGTTCTCCACCTTTCCACATCAGTTTGCAAATTACCGTATTTTTTGCTCTATAAGACTCGCTTTTTCCCTCCTAAAAAGTAAGGGGAAATGTGTGTGCGTCTTATGGAGCGAATGCAGGCTGTGCAGTTATCCCAGAAGCCAGAACAGCAAGAGGGATTGCTTCTTTCACTGCTCAGCGATCCTTCTTGCTGTTCTGGCTTCTGAGATTCAGAATATTTTTTTTCTTGTTTTCCTCCTCCAAAAACTAGGTGCGTCTTGTGGTCTGGTGCGTCTTATAGAGCGAAAAATACGGTAATTTTCTAAAGTCCTCGCGAAAACTCAGCAGCATTTCCATGTGAATTTATCATGCTGCACACATTTTTGTATACAAATTTGGCCTAACAGTAATATTTTTGCAAGGCAATTCTCTCGAACATTTCGGTATGTTGTTTTCACTAATAATATATGCATTCTTATGCACGCTTCGGGTTGAATCCAAAGTTCATCCTACTCATAGAGGACCACTGGACATTAATGGACACAGCTGAGTTAGGTTGGTTCATTTCAATGGGCCTATCAGTTGGATACAACTCTTTACCCTTCTATATGCAGTTTTGCACACGTTACTTGACTGAAGAACCAAATTTGGAGAAGCACAAATTTCCAACGATGGCTGCATTTCGGCACAGATGTTGTTTCGGACAGTGCAAATCAGGCCAATCCACCTTTAAATTTAGGGCGAATCAAATTTCTCCCCTTTCCTTTGGATATTCTACGGCTGCCTGCAAATCTTCATAAGCAGACATGATGGCTCTGACTACCTTTTCCACCCCTATCTTAGGTCAGAGAGCTGCACTTTGTGCCTCTGTTGTGGTCCCTTCTCTTTGATCTGCAGAGAGAAATTATTGCAGATAGGGCTGTTCCTAGCGAAGGGATTAGCAGGAGACAATGGGAAGACTCTCCATTTCGAAGCCTCTCTCTCACCAGATAAACTCCCGGCAGTGCGAGCAGTATGTGGGTTGCCGCAAATAGGTAGCCATAAACTTGTGCCCGTTGACTTGGTGGACTCGCCGCCGCATAGCCCGTTGGCGCTTCCGGGTGAAGTTCTTAAATATTCTGTCCCTCTGGAGAGTTCCTGCGTGTACAAATATAAAGGAGACAAAACAGGGAAGCAAATGCTTATCAGTACTAGTTCTTGGTTATTTGCCACTCTTTCCCTTTAATTTTCAACCACAAGTTATCTCAAAACATGATACAGTGGTACCTCGCTGTTATGTACTGAGTTGAATAGGATCCAAAATGCAGCAGTCTGATTGGTCCTAGAACAATAGGATCCAAAATGCAGCAGTCTGATTGGTCCTAGAACAATAGGATTCAGAATGCAGCAGTCTGATTGGTCCTAGAACAATAGTGTTAAGTTGTGGGTGAACATATCAGACGACACAGTGATTCTTCAAACAGCTCTTGTTTATTCACAGGCCAGAACAGAACAGAACTGAAGGGTTCCGCCAATCTGCTTATATAGAGCTCCACTAGAATGCAACAGTAATCATTTTCTGTAAGTATCCAATCACTGAACGTCACTTTCCATCCCTTATTTGCATATGTGGACCTGAACTATCTACAGTATCCCCCTGCTGGCCCAGGGTGAGAACTTCAGTACATAACAAAATGCAGCAGTCTGATTGGTCCTAGAACAATAGGATTCAGAATGTAGCAGTCTGATTGGTCCTAGAACAATGCAGCAGTATGATTGGTCTGCAGGAGCCACCCAATCCAGCTCCAGGTGGAAGTGAATCCACAACCTGATTGGCCTACAGGAGAATCCCGGAATTAGCCAGTCACATGCAGCCCATTGTGTAAATAATGTATATAAAGCAGATATTGTGGGGGAACTTCCATTCCTCCTCACCACTATGAGCTGAATAAAGAGCATGAAATCCACTCTCAACTCCAAGTATATTTCAATCGGGTTACAGACGCTTCAGGTTACAGACGCTTCAGGTTACAGACTCCGCTAACCCAAAAATAGTACCTCGGGTTAAGAACTTTGCTTCAGGATGAGAACAGAAATCGTGCAGCAGTGGCAGCGGGAGGCCCCACTAGCTAAAGTGGTACCTCAGGTTAAGAACAGTTTCAGGTTAAGAACGGACCTCCAGAACGAATTAAGTTCTTAACCTGAGGTACCACTGTATCTTTAAGCACCTTCATTCCTTGCTCCTCCTTAGCTCCTCTCCCCCCCATCATTCTCTCTGCTCCATCAGCCAGCAAATCGCCTTCTGAAACCCAGGATCTCCACTTCTGGGATCATATGGTCCCTACCCTTTCTTTTCTGCTTGCAGATCCTTTTCCTGTGTCTCGAAGCTGTGTCTGAATTGCTGCAGTGTGATCAAATTGTATGAACACCCAACTTTCAACTTTGTGCAGTTGGATGCCAGCCGGCTGAAATTGTGCAAATTAACTGCAGAGAACCTAAAAGCTCTTTTTTAGCCAGGCTTTCCCCCAAGTGGAAAGAGCTTTTAAGCTCTCCCTGTTGACCACCTTGCTTAGCAGGCTCTGGGATGCTCTCAGGAGACCATGTGGGAACTCAGACATCCCTGCAAGAGCTTGCGAGAGCATCGTACCAGAAGGTAAGGATGCTCGCGCAAGGGCAGTTTCAGATTCGAGTGTACACTTTTCCCGTATACGCACCATCCCTGGAATATACCCCCCCCCAAGATACAATCGTACTATACTGTACAGAAACTGTGGCCTTCCAGATGTTGTTGGCAGAGGCCACCTCCCATTAACCTCCACCAGTTGGGCCAGAAAGCAACATCTGGGCAACACGTTGGATTGGGGAAGATGTATTGCAGTCTTTAAGCTGTGTGCCTCCACCTATATTCAACCTGTATATTTGTAAATACATGCAAACATCACCAAACACCAAGAAGCCTCCGGTGACCTCCTTCCAAAGGAAATCAAACCTTTGGAAGGACTGCACCCCTGAAATCTTAGCGAAGTGAGGTGCACATAACACTATATGTTTATGAGGAAACATCGGCTTTAGATCCATTTTAGTCCGGGTTCCGTCCTGGTTTCGGGACCGAGACAGCTCTGGTTGCCCTAACAGATGATCTCTGTAGACAACTGGATCGAGGCGGGTCAGGACTGCTGATCCTTTTAGATTTGTCAGCAGCCTTTGACATGGTCGATCATGATCTTCTGGACCACCGCCTCGCCGACGTGGGGATACAGGGCATAGCCCGTAAAAGGCTGTGGTCTTTTATCTCTGG